GGGTTGTCTGCTTTTTACCGTTGGTTGCATCGGGTGCATCGTCGGGTGATTTACGGTATTTAGCGCAACTCCTTTGTAAATAATTATTTGCTTGCTTCTTAATTTATTTATATAATAATTACATATCCGCTTAAATTAGCGGAATATCGGAACAAATGCACTTTACCACCCCCCTCAAAATTATGCTGTAGTGGGAGAACTGTATCACTCAGTAATTATTGTATACAATTATTTTATTATGGTATGGCCAAAGTTCTAAATGTTAGTGGTTTGGGAGGCACTTGGCTTTTTATCAAATGCTGTTGGATTATTGCTAATGTAATTATCGTATAAACGGGATAATATTGAAGTCAGCCGCCATATGCCAACAGGGCAATGTTTACAAAATCTTCTTGAACACGGTAGAACTAGACGTTTCTGTTACTTTTGGGTGAACTTAGATTGAGGAGACGCGAATGTGTAGTCTCAATTTTACCATCAACAATGTCTAGCTATCAGTCATCAAATCACTTAGGTAGGCGATCCACTTGCGGACTCCGTTACGTGCGTAGGTATAAGTGAAGGAAGGAAATAAAGTTTGGGAACCAATGCGGTTTAGTAGCCACGTGATTTTTTCGTTTTTTTCCCCCAAAATGTGTGTTTTAAAGCACTGAACACAAAAGTCTGATTGCAAAACTCTCGCAAATCATGATTTTGGAAGTTGTACCAAAAATACTATAAAACATAAATTTTTTCAAAAATACGTGATATCTACGAAAAAAACATCAAAAAACTACTTTTTGATTTTTTTTTTTTTAATTATTAACAGTTAAATAACAAAATTTTCAAGTATAGTGACTCCCTTCGACTGCCGGCTCCGGTCACCAAACTCGAGGTCCTCTGGAACCCAAACCCCCCAGGGTGCATGTAACGTTCGCATTACCAGTTCTGTTGTGCTTGCAAAAAGAATAAACGCATAACGAAAAGTATAATTATTGTGTGTCTAGCTTTCAGTTCTCAACTGGTACGAATTTATACGTGTGCTGGGCATACCTCCTAACTTCGATAGTCTGATGTTGTATTATTGTAGGAGAAATTGTTAATGCCGAATGTGAAGTGAATAAAAAGGATAAGKCAATCAGAWATATAGGTGTCTGGTTGCGACACCGTGTGCGTAGTAAGTGAAATTAAAATGTTCAATTAACTTGATAATTAAATGCTATAAATTACTTATATAGACACCTATAGGTGTGATGTACCTATCATAACATTATTATTGTTTGTAAGTACTTAACTACAGTTAAATGCATATA